TCTTGAGAGCTTGTGTTAAGATTTCATTTACTGTATTCATTGCTGTTGCTGGTGCGTTGATAGTTGGCAGGTATCCGACTGTGTCCTGAGTGACAATAGTTTGATTTCTTGTCTGGATGTTAAAGCCAGTCCATCCAGAAATGTTCTGATTCATGACGTTGATTTGCCGTGTCACACACCAAGCAAAGTCCTTTAGTTGCGCTAGTTGGACAGCAGCACTGCAGTCAACTAGCATGGGTTTAACAGCGGGAGGGCCAACGCGTTCACCAGCATTATAGCTTGGCAAAACCAATTCTACATGAGGTATGCTTCTCTTCTTTTGCTTTGGTTTTGCAGCCGCGGGTATTGGGCACAGGGCCTCAACAGTATGTACCACTGGCTGTACCACAATACCATTTACACGGTGTGATGTTTCGCCGCCACTCAGCGTTTCTTCTAGTCGGTCAATATTATCAAATGCCAATGTCGTAGGGACCCCGGGATGAATGCTTGATGGTAGGGTAATACCAGCTGAATCGCCACTTTTAAGCTTTTCTAGGCACAATGCTGTTTCAATTTCTTCCAGTTTTGAATATGAAACTCCATGTCCCAGCCTGTTTAACAGTTTTATTACTTCCACATTTCCAGTAAGTGACTTTACAGCCCATGGGAGTAATATATGCTTGGCTGTAGGACAAGACCCACCACTTATGGCAAACATGCAGTCCTGGTAAGCAGAGTAAATGAACCTATTCACGCGGGAGGTCAGAGGCTTTTCTGTGTCGCCCGTCACAAGAGTTTTGAAAAAGGCAGTTATTAAAGGAGTTAAAGGGATATAATCTTTATCCAACTTTTGTGGTTGAGGAGGCCATTCATGCTTTAACTCTTCTTGGGATTTCTTGAGCTCATCTCTAATGTAAAGAGCTGCCTTTTTTACCAATACTAATGGATCTGCATCTTCCTTCAGAGACTTCAATTCTCTTTTCATTTTCATGACCTCTGCTGCCAGTGTAGTGACGTGTAGATTGTCAGGAATAAGCAGAAGTTTTCCGTTCTCATCCGGAAAAATAGACAAGCTATTTCCAAATTCGCCTTCCAATTTACGGCGAATATGCTTTTTAGTACCTGGTCGTATTTCTTCAATACCATTTTCTCTCATGTGCGAAACAAGTTTAGCTGTCAACTCTACCATAGTCAAAACACGAGGATTTGTGAACAAGTCATTTCTTATGTAATCAAACAACATTTCATGCGCATCTCTCTCAGCATCGACATAAATTTGGTCATCATCTGTTTGTTGTACTGAATCATTGCGAGGCGTTGTGTAGTAATCTCTAGTGTAGTCACGATAGCAGGTTTTGTGATAATGCGCTTCAGCAGCAACTAGTTCTCGAGAAGTAACGGCTAGTATTTTATTATCCATCTTTGCAGTAGCCACAGCTCGTATTTTCTCGTCTGCGCAAAGTGATCTTGCTTGAATAACTGCTTCTCTAGTGTCAGTTCCCTTGATATATTTTTTGTTTCCGTCACAAAAAATGCAGATCTTCTGGTACACGCTAGATTTGCTGCTTGTTGGCTGCCTCTGCGAAGTACGTTGCTTTTCGTTAAACAAATCATCTGTTTCTTTCGTTGATTCATTAGCATTTTTAACTTGTAGACTGTTCAGTGTCTTCTTGTGGGTAAAAGTACTTCGACATTCTCAATGGTAGAAAATTTCGGGCACGTGCACTGAATTACCAGCTGTTGGTATAAAATGTAGAATAGGGAGGAAGTTACGTATTTCGGCAGCTTTTAGAAGAGTATTCCAGGAAGACCGGTCAATCGGTTTTACAAGTTCTGTTCGCGGAGCTTTTACAGAGCATATTATACATTCAAGATATTCAATGTCACCACCGGTACGAGGTCTTTTTGCAGGTCGATCATTAAAATCCTCAGAAGTCATATTTGTTACTGTTGAACAGACAAATCAATAACACAATGATGACTACAGTGAAAAAACGCGTATACACACAGAAATACAAATTTCCAAGTATGAAGTAAAAGTTTGTACTGATTAATGATGTATTTACAGCTTGGTTCGTAACTAAATTATTGCTTAGGCCTACTAAATTATCCCCTCTTGCGTACGTTTTATGTGCGTAAAAATAAATATTTTATATCTTCAGACGCGGTTGTTTAATGTCTAATACATAATTCTTACGTTCATTCTTGAAAAAAAGTCAGAAGCATGATAAAAATTAAGAAATGAGATACTGTACTTACAGATTTTCCAAATCTTGACTATCTAAACAATCTGCCATTTTGAATTTTTGATGAAGTACGTCATGTAAGCGTCACGATATATACTTTTATTATTTCCTATTTTCGTGGCCAAAAAAGTTTCAAACCTGGATTTTTTGCATTGTTTATCTTCAGAATAGCTATGCATTACGTTGTGAATAATGTTTCACTATAAAAGGTCAACTTATTTGCAAGAGTATACAATTTGCATTTTTGGCAGCCATTTTGAATTTTCGTATTTTAAGTGACACGAAAAACCTAATTTTACTGTTCCTTAACTACAAAGTATCACGGTCCATCACATTTTTTTGAAATATATGCAAGATAAGGATTATGTAAAGCGGGGTAGTATTTTGTCCCTCAGACTGGTACCGGAAGTGATGCTGGCTCATGGACTTTATCTTACATCATCACATCGACAGAAATAGTAAAATATGAGTGGGTGAGGCGCCGTTCGAACTAGCTTAGTACTATATTTAGAGATAAGGCGCTTAGAACGGGCCGGGTTCTGGTTTTGCCAAACTTGTTTAAAGCTCGAATGGATACAAATAATTATAATATTAATCCATAGACAATCAAACGAAAGGAATGTCCATGAATGTCGTCCTTTGAATTTCTATGACTAGACCAAGTCGTGAAAAATTTTAGGTCAGACTTAACGGACAATCTCCTGAACAATTTAAACAAGTTTTTAAATATTAAAAATTCATAACAACATATTAAGACAAGTATGTGTCTTTGTTTGGATGAAGTTTAAGCCCGGCGCACACTGGAGGAAACAGCTGAGCTGAGCGTCACTCGTGGCTGTTGGCTGAGCTGTTTCCTCAGGTGTGCGGTGTCGTGTTCCGCGATTTTCGCCACGCGTGCCATGAGCGCAGAATATTCAACATGTTGAATAATTTTGTGCACGAGTGAACATTTCCTCACAGTGTGCGCGCGTTCTAAACTATTAGCTCAGCAATCAATGCCAACGCGCATGCGTCTTTTCCATGTTTTACTGAAGTCAAGATGGCGGCAAACAACTCACCAGTTGCTGAAGCAGTGTTGGAAGATAAATTGGCCGATTTTTGGCCCGATTACCCTTGTCTGTACGACGTTCGAAGTCCAGACTTTAAGAACCGGGAGATACGCGATAAGGCGCTTCAAGAACTGGCCGAAAAACTCGGAACAACATGTAAGATAATTCAGATTTTATTAGCGCAAATTAATGCACAAACAATTATAATTTTGAAGCTAAGCTTTTATATATATTTTTGAAGGTAAGACCGCGCTTGTGTTTAGCAGCTTATAACTAAACAACCCATAATAGTTCCTTCATATAACTCACCCGATTGTTTGTGTGCCTCTAGTAATGCAACAGTAATCTTAGGCCTAGATAATGAGACGATAACATCACTAAGCTCATTACCATCTCATTATCTATTGTTCGAATTGTACTATTCTACGCCAGTGGCGTAGGAACCGGGAAGACACGGGGAGCACGTGCCCCTCCCCTCAAAAAAATTAAGGGGATAGCAGGCCCATAAAAAATTAATTTGATTGGAGACTAATAATGCAGAACGCGAATATATGAATATTAGTTGTAGTTGCATTATGTCTAGAAGGTTCAATTAGCAAAAATATGGATTTGCATCGATTTGAAACAAGATTTTTCCAGTGTGATTATAGTTCTTATATTTAGTTATCTATATAGATATTACAACAATAAAAAGTCATAAAAACCAGTAAGTGTCATTACAGAGGTCAGTAGACTATGAAGGTATATGTTAAGGTATATCACTAGACTATGTTGCTATACATACAAATGGAACAAGTTTACGTGAAGTTTGACTCACATGCTCTCTACGGTTATAAACAGTATATATTTTCAGGCTAATCTACTTTTGTGTAGATTCGCACTAAACGACCTACTAGTTTGTTAAAACACACACACACGATTGTTTTCATCCCTTAATGAACAAGAATTGTTGAAGATTGGTAATCAACCGTCATACTTTGCAATTATTATCGCTAACATTAGTCTTGCCTTAAAAGTGATCCACTAACTAACTTGCATTTTCATTAGAAGGGTAAATTAGCAAATAAATTTCGCATGGATTATAAACAGAAATCTAGATTTTTAGGCGTGAAATGTGACTGAGTTGATTTGACCACGCAAAGCATGATGGTAAACACACAATCCTTAAAATATTCCTTGCATCAATAAACACCGACAAATACATCCTATGCAATCTCCCAGCCATCTTCATAGTTCATCCTTGTACCAAACCCTTTGTATCCTCGCATGTTAACGTTGCACGCAGTGTACGGAAGGACCAGGGCACGAGTATGAACCGACTAGGCATGTGCTAGGAACCGATTAGGGCGGTAAAAATAACCCAAATTACATAATGACTGCAACAACTATTGCCGAAAATTATAGTCCGTTTATTCAGATGAGCAGTTCACCAACGTTTATAATTTATATAATGATTATCAGTTAACTAACTGTTCTTTGTACAAGTCTGTCTAGATTACTAGATGATCCTCTCCGTAGTAGAGCTAAAATGTAGCACACATGCACACAAAAAATGGATACAAAAGTAAATACGATTATGTTGATTTACTCAGTTCAACAACAAAGGAATACCATGTTGTGAAATTCAGATAATTCTTTTCCTTACGAACTCGTCGTTCATAATGTAAAAATATTGGGATAATTTCTCATAACATTGCTTTCCTCTCCGTTAAATAGTTCTGAATCAATCTTTATTAATGAAAGAGTCCCACAGCGCTTCTTCAGCAAAAGGTCTCTTATCAATCTTGTGATGAATCAGCCACGCCACAAACTTTCGAGCTTTACGATCACCAAGTTTCTTCAAATTCACAGGGTTTCCTTTCAAAATATTTCTCATTCGATCAAACTGAGATCCAAAAGGGTGTTCACCTTTTGTTAAGATGAAGAAAGCAATCATACCCGCTACCTGGACATCCGATTTCTTTTTGAAAGGACCTTTTTCTTGTTTCTCTACTGCTTCAATTACTTCTGTTGGCACCCATCCGGGAGTGCCGTTAGCGTCTGTTTTAACCGTCGTTTCATCCTCTTTTAGAACGCGGCTTAATCCAAAATCTGCCAATTTCATGCGACCCTCGATATCAGCCAGGACGTTTGATGGTTTTAGATCTCTGTGCAATATTCCTTTACCATGAAGAAATTTAAGTCCTGATAGAATTTCTTTGATCATTCCTGGACCACGCTCTTGTAGATGTTCAATACTGGATGCATGAACAAGTTCCTTTAAGGTTTCTTCGCAAAGATCAAGAATAAGATACATGGAGGTATCGTCACGGTGAAAATGTCGATAACTCACTATAAATGGTGAGTCGCTTGTTTTAATAAGATCCATAATTTCCCTTTCGTTTTCAGCTATTTTATCACACTTTTCTACCTGCATTTTCTTAACAGCAACTTCAGTCCCATCCTTCATGAGACCAACATAGACACTTGAATATCCACCATCGCCAATTCTGAATTGCTTGTCGGCGACAAAAGCCTGCATCGGAATGCCAATCTTTGAAAAAAAAACACGATAAATATTCCACAGTGAGAAGAAAAAAGCAAGAACACATTCACAGTTTAAAAAGTATTTTCTCAACTTCTAAATATCGAAATCTCAAATCAATGCTATATTTGCAAGTGATTTTATCAGAAAGACATAATTCGAATGAAAATCTTGTATACGTTGTGCACAATAGGCTTATGCTAGCCGGGGGGGGGGGGGTGAAGCTGCTGCTTGAGCCCCTCCGCGGTGTTCCGTTCATTGTTTGAGCAAAATATTCCGGAATGTAATAATAAAAATAATAATAATAATAAGAACTTACTGACTGAGAGTGAGGTCTGTACGGTAAAATATCAAACGGAGGTCGTGCCGTATTGACCGAGCGATAGCGAGGTCAATACGGCACGACCGAGGTTTGATATTTTACCGTACAGACCGAACAATCGAAGTCAGTAAGTTATTTATTATATGACTTAATTTGGAAAAACCATAAACACGAATAATAATTCATTTCCATTCAATCCAGTCAATAAAAATTGAGCGTATTGCCCGTGGGCAATATGGGAAAATCCCGCCTCGTCAGCAGCCAATCAAATTGCAGGATTTACAAAAACAAACACTAGTCATATAATAATATTCTATATTCTACGGGTTGTATCAAAAACGTACCGCCTATTGAAATCATCTTTTGTTTGACTCTGAATGCCATAATTATTATTTTGCGAAACCGATGCATGCATTAGATGACGAGATTAATTAAGCGAGACGCTTAATTTGAAAATTTAAAACTAGGAATCCGAGGTTAGTGCAAAGTGCCCCCTAATACCTAAGTAACCAGGCTTTTGTCCCTAATAAATGAGTCAGGTAAAAATAGTAAGTAAAAATGCGAGTTAAAATATAAAGAACCAAGTTAAATGTTAGCCTTAATAAAACAGGAAATTTATTGCTAATATTTTGATTGCTCAATATTACACGATACGAAAATATGGCAAAATTTGTACGCTGCCTTCAGTGGGGCAGACATAGGAAACGTGGTCAAGCTATTTTTCAGCTTACCCGGTTGGTGACTGAGAGTAGCAACATCAATAAACACCGAAAAAATACATCACATGCCATGTCGCATCCATCCCTATTATAGTTCATCTCCGTACCAAACTTTGCGAATTCATGTGCAACGGCACATGCGCCGTCTTTAGGGGGCTAAATCCTTTAAAACAAAACCCACACCACGGAGAAGTAATATTTTAATTTACAGTAAAGGTAAGATTCCTCTATATGTTTGTGAACTTAGCAAAATGGATAGAGAATTAAAAAAATAAAACAAATTAAACTGATAACCCAACTAAAAAATGACCATAAACATGAACCACGCCTACCTCCCGGAAAGTCTACTCTATGACTTACTCACCCTTTTAAATTTTCACCAATCTGCACAATACTGGAAAGAAATTTTGCACTAAAAAGATTTCTCCAGGAAAAGAAAAACAAAACAAGTGGGCCAGTTGTGTAAAACTATTTAACTACATTTTGCATAGTTAAATCCTAGTTAACTCAGAAATACACGACTCTGACTTCTGCCCTTAACTACAGTTATAAGTTAACTAGTCTTTTATACAACTGGCCCCTGGTAGTATGGTGGTAAAACGCTACACCAGCTGGTGTAGAAAAAATCGATTGAAAAATTCGGAAGACAAAATTTTTTTGTGCAAACTTTGCCTCAGCAACTCCCCTCTCCCCAATTGAAAGGGGCCCATCACGCCATTAGTTGTGTAACCTACCCAATCTAACATATCTATACTCATCCATATATATATAGGCATGGTTTGATGCGCATCTGAATGGTTAATCTTTGTTTTTTATATCGCGCGAGTTCCGTAGTCGCGGTTTGGTAGGGAGTTGATTATGTCACCGATTGGCTACAAAATGCGCGTCATCGAGCTGCGATGGCCTTTGTTCGTAAACCTCCCCATAGCCTTAGGTTATTTTGCAAAACTTATTATACAATCTCACATATATTTAAAATATTACCTCTTCTAGCTGGTTACAGTTCGTTGTTGTCAACTTCTTAATTTTCTCACGATGTTCTACGGACCTTTTAAGGATAGTTGCAATTTCATCATGACCAAGGTGAATGCTCCATTCAAGAAAATTCATTCCTCGCCCTTCAACAATAATCTTTTGCTCTCTCCACATCGCGTTGTCTTTCTCATAAAGAAGATTGACCAAGGCGACGAAGTTGTTTTTAACAGCTATTTGGAGGAGTGCTAAAACAGTGGTGCCAACATCAGCACCCTGTTCAACTAAATACTTGACAGCTACAAAATCACCAACACGAACAGCATGGTGCAAGACTGTCCCTCCGTTAGTATCATTGGCATTTACATCAGCGCCGTTCTGGATAAGATATTCCACCATTTCTAGCGAATCTTTTCCAAGAGCACTGTGCAACACTGTCAATCCGCTATTGTTTTTTGCATGTACATCAGCGCCATTTCCCACAAGACATTTCACCATTTCTAGCGTACCTTTAGAAACAGCAGAGTTCAACACAGTCTCCCCGTCATTATCCTTGGCATTAACATCAGCGTCCTTCTCAAAAAGATATTTTAGCATTTCTAAGGTACCTTCAATAACAACCGAGTGAAGTACTGTCTTCCCGTCATTTCTCTGAGCATTTACATCAGCGCCCTTCTCAACAAGATATTCCACCATTTCTAGCGAACCTTTTACAACAGCACCGTGCAACACTGTCCATCCGCTGCTTTTTTTTCCATTTACATCAGCGCTATTTCCCACAAGATATTTCACAATTTCTAGCGTACCTTCATAAACAGCAGAGTGCAGCACTGTCTCCCCAAAATATTTCTTGGCATTTACATCAGCGCCCTTCTTAACAAGATATTCCACCATTTCTAACGAACCTGTTACAACAGCACTGTGCAACACTGTCCATCCGCTATTATTTTTGCCATTTACATCAGCGCCATTTCCCACAAGACATTTCACCATTTCTAGCGTACCTTTAGAAACAGCAGAGTTCAACACAGTCTCCCCGTCATTATCCTTGGCATTAACATCAGCGCCCTTCTCAAGAAGATATTTTAGCATTTCTAAGGTACCTTCAATAACAACCGAGTGAAGTACTGTCTTCCCGTCATTTCTCTGAGCATTTACATCAGCGCCCTTCTCAACAAGATATTCCACCATTTCTAGTGAACCTTTTACAACAGCACCGTGCAACACTCTCCATCCGCTGTTTTTTTTTCCATTTACATCAGCGCTATTTCCCACAAGATATTTCACAATTTCTAGCGTACCTTCATAAACAGCAGAGTGCAGCACTGTCTCCCCAAAATATTTCTTCGCATTTACATCAGCGCCCTTCTTAACAAGATATTCCACCATTTCTAACGAACCTGTTACAACAGCACTGTGCAACACTGTCCATCCGCTATTATTTTTGCCATTTACATCAGCGCCATTTCCCACAAGATATTTCACCATTTCTAGCGTACCTTCAAAAACAGTAGAGTGCAGCACTGTCTCCCCATCATTATCCTTGGCATTTACATCAGCGCCCTTCTCAACAAGATATTTTACCATTTCTAGCGTACCTTCAGAAACAGCAGAGTGCAACACTGTCTCCCCGAGAGTATTCTTGGCATTTACATCAGCGCCCTTCTCAACAAGATATTTTACCATTTCTAGCGTACCTTCAGAAACAGCAGAGTGCAGCACTGTCTCCCCGAGAGTATTCTTGGCATTTACATCAGCGCCCTTCTCAACAAGATATTTTACCATTTCTAGCCTACCTTCAAAAACAGCAAAATGCAGCACTGTCTCCCCGAGAGTATTCTTGGCATTTACATCAGCGCCCTTCTCAACAAGATATTTTACCATTTCTAGCGTACCTTCAAAAACAGCAAAATGCAGCACTGTCTCCCCGAGAGTATTCTTGGCATTTACATCAGCGCCCTTCTCAACAAGATATTTTATCATTTTTAACGAACCTTTTACCACAGCACTCTGCAACACTGTCCATCCGCTATTCTTTTTTTCATTTACATCAGCGCCTATTCCCACAAGATATTTCACCATTTCTAGCGTGCCCTCAGAAACAGCAGAGTGCAGCGCTGTCTCCCTGTGAGTATTCTTGGCATTTACATCAGCGCCCATCTGAACAAGATATTCTACTGTTTCTAGCGAACCTTTTCCCACAGCACGGTGTAGGACTATCCATACGCGATCCCTTTTTCCATTAACATCAGCGCCATTTCCCACAAGATATTTCACCATATCTAGCCTACCTCTAGAAACAGCAGAGTGCAGGACTGTCTCCCCGTGAATATTCTCGGTATTTACATCAGCGCCATTCTCGACAAGATATTCTACCATTTCTAACAAACCTTTTACAACAACACTGTGCAGCACTGTCCTTCCGTGAGTATTCTTGACATTTACATCAGCGCCGTTTCCCACAAGATATTTCACCATTTCTAAGTTACCTTCAGTAACAGCAGAGTGCAGCACTGTTTTCCCGTAAGTATTCTTGACATTTACATCAGCGCCCTTCTGAACAAGATATTTTACTATATCTGTCCTGCCTTTGGAAAAAGCAGAGTGCAACACTGTTTCCCCAGTGATTTTCTTACAATTGACATCAGCACCCTTCTTAATAGGGTAGTTTACTATTTCTAAAGTATCTTGAGTAACACACAGTGCACAGTGCAGAACTGATTGCATTTCAGTTTTGCCATTAACATCAGCACCATGTTCAACAAGACATTCTATTATTTCTAGTGTGCCTTTGAAAATCGCATGGCGCAGCACCGTCCATCCCTTACTATCCTCGCTATTTACATTAGCGCCCATTTCAAGAAGATATTTCACCATTGCTGGCGTACCTTCAGTAACAGCAGAGTGAAGCATTGTCCAGTCGTAAGTGACATCCTTGGCATTCACATCAGCGCCCATTTCTACTAGATATTTTACAACTTCTAGCGTACCTTTAGAAATAGCATCGTAAAGCACCGACCACCCGCCATTTCTCTTACCATTTACATTAGCGCCCATTTGAACAAGATATTTTACCTTTTCTAGCGTACCTTTTATAACAGCATCATGCAGCACTGTCCACCCATCGGTCTTTTTGCCATTTATATCTGCCCCCAGTTCAACAAGATATTTAACCATATCTAATGAACTATAGGAAGTAGCATAGTGCAGTACTGTCCAGCCGTCTGTAGTATCCTTGCCGTTTACAACAGCGCCATTTTCAACAAGATATTTTACAACTTCTGGAGTGGATTTTGTAATTGCAGCGTGCAGCACTGTCTCCCCGTCATTATCCTTTGCATTTACATCAGCGCCATTTTCAACCAGGTATTTTACTATATCCATCGTACCTTCAGTAACAGCGTAGTGCAACACTGTCCTACCGTAAGTATTCTTACCATTTACATCAGCGCCCTTTTCAACAAGATATTTTACCATTTCTAGTGCATCTTGGCTAACAGCAGAGTGCAAGACTGTCCATCCATCAGTATACTCGCCATTTACATCAGCACCATTTTCAACAAGATATTTTATGATTTCTAGCTTACCTTCAGTAACAGCATTGTGCAGCACTGTCCACCCGTCAGTATCCTTTCCATTTACTTCGGCGCCTTCTTCAACAAGATGTTTCACCATTTCTAGCGTACCTTTGCTAACAGCATAGTGCAAGACTGTCCATCCATCAGTATACTTTTCATTTACATCAGCGCCCTGTTCAACAAGATATTTCACCATTTCTAGCGTACCTTCAGAAATAGCAGAGTGCAGCACTGTCTCCCCGTCATTATCCTTGGCATTTACATCAGCCCCCTTCTCACCAAGATATTTTACCATTTCTAAGTTACCTTTAGTAACAGCAGCGTGCAGCACTGTCTCCCCGTCATTATCCTTTGCATTTACATCAGCGCCATTTTCAACCAGGTATTTTACTATATCCATCGTACCTTCAGTAGCAGCATAGTGCAACACTGTCCTACCGTAAGTATTCTTACCATTTACATCAGCGCCCTTTTCAACAAGATATTTTACCATTTCTAGTGCATCTTGGCTAACAGCATAGTGCAAGACTGTCCATCCATCAGTATACTCGCCATTTACATTAGCGCCATTTTCAACAAGATATTTTATGATTTCAAGCTTACCTTCAGTAACAGCATTCTGCAGCACTGTCCACCCGTCAGTATCCTTTCCATTTACTTCGGCGCCTTCTTCAACAAGATGTTTCACCATTTCTAGCGTACCTTTGCTAACAGCATAGTGCAAGACTGTCCATCCATCAGTATACTTCTCATTTACATCAGCCCCCTGTTCAACAAGATATTTTACCAATTCTAGCGTACCTTCTGTAACAGCAAGTTGTAGCATTGTCCCCCCGTCTGGATTCCTCGTATTCATGTCTGCACCGCATTGTTTAACTAAGTATTTGACAATTTCTATTCCACCAACATAAACAGCATGATGTAAGGCAGTATTTCCCGAATCATCTTTACAATGTATATCAGTCCCACAATCTTCAACGAAATATTTCACAATTTCTAATGATCGAGACTGTATTGCACTCTTAAGAACTTTAGAATCGTCCTGAAAATTATGTTCAGGGCCATAATGAACGAAATACTTAACAAGATCAAATAAACCATTTCTTATCGCTATCGACAAAACTGTTTCACCATCTTCGTTCTGGGAATAAATGTCTGCTCCATGGTCAACTAAATATTTAACAAATTTTTGATCTACTGGACTAAACTGAAAAGCACGCCAAAGAATTGTCTTCTTCCAACGATCTTCTTTGTTTTCACCACATTCAACTTGCTTTCTTATTTCGTCCCAAAATTTCTGTTTTCCTTCTTCACAGACATTTATGCTTCCACTTGCCTCTTTCTTTTTCTCAAAATCTACAAATATGCAACATGAAGATGCAATTTACATGAAAAAGAGAGATTAAAAATAAATAACCGGGCAGTGCCTAACGAAATTTCATTGCGGTTGAGACTCCCGCAACAATTTATCGGCTCGCATTACGCAGGCATGAATGATTTCTGGAAGAGGTGAAATTATACAATAATCGGGAGAAAACGGCTGTAAACTGTAATATCTATAACTTTGTCTCCTGAACAAGGCCTAAAATCCGTTCACGTCAGGGATTTATTTCGGGGAGTTATGCACCTCGAAGGAATACATATTTTCAACACATTCAAAGGGGACTTTGGCGAAATATGCCTTATAATTATATAGTTCTTCCTTGAGCACGAGCTACATTGTATCAGGTGATAAGAAAGTTAAAAATGTGTCAACGGGTTGTAGGGTAGAAATTTAAATTATTGAATAGCCTGAATGGTTCCCACGGGATATTTATTATTTTACTTATTTATTTAGTATCGCCTTTGCCAATAGCGAACGCAATTGCCTGGGCAAATTATTGTGGAACCTTGATGGTTAGGGCCGTAGCTATAGCCAGAAGCTTAATTATGGGTGTGTATATTCATATATTCATCTAAAGGCGGATTTCCGGGATGGAAGACGATAGGATTTTTACTTCTATCATAGGACACTTGTTTTAAATCTCACCGCCATCACATTCTTCGTTTTGAATGCCTTTTTCTTGGAGTTCATCATCATTTTCTTTCTGTTTATTAACAGACTGGGATTGTTTATTTTCGGACGAAGCGATACTATTGTTTTCCGTAAAGCTTGAAGTTACGTCGCTGTCCTCCTCGTGGGACATCATAACATTATCATCTTCCATGAGTTCAGTCATTCTTATATTATTTTTTACAATCTTCATTGGTGCTTATAACAAGATCATATCATCTTGCCTGATTGACATCTTCGAAATAACGCGATGGGAATCTGAAAACCAAGTTATTAATTACTGTTAGCTCCAAATGTTTAAAACTGTCGAAAAATCACTATCCCGCGGAAGCACTATCTAATTTTCGTCAAATCGGCCCTGGAAGGATAACAGCTATCTTTGGAGCCAATTTATAGCCGAATCTAGACCATTGACCAGTCACTTTTCTTTGTTTACGTCGGCGCGATTGTCTATAGTGAAGAGAAAGCACTCAGACGAGATAGCAGCCGAATAGTCGTTCCAGTTTAATTGTTTAAGTAAAGTTCACGGCTTTATCTAATGTACTAGCATAACATATCAGTGTACACGACCCAATTTTGGTTTTCTAACGTTAATCTAGCCCAACTATATGTTTCGGTTGTATATCGCGTATCGATGATCGACAAACAAACGAAAGAAGAATGCTTTACATGCACTTCTTAATTCAAAATGCTGTTTGCTAACTTGCTACGCTAGCCCTGAAATATTGGCAAGTTTTTTATGAAACGAAAATATGTCTAAAAAAGACTTTACAAAATTCTAAGCAACACAACAGCTAAGGGGTTTAGACCAGTCACCATAGAAAGGGTCAACTGTACGATCAAAGTGTGTATTATTTATACCTTCATGTTCATAAACTGTAACTGAAACAATCGTCTTTAAAAGGGAATCAGTCGGGCAAAGAAGACGAATGTATGAATACGCACCCTCGATTTTGCCACCTTGTTATTGACTATTCTAGGGCTATTCTAGGTATAGTTTGGGTCTCTACGGTTTATTAACACTGCTACACACAATATGCCTCGCACAAATATGATACTCGATAGTCCCGTGATTATTAGTTGCGTCTCAGTTCTGTGGTATTGAACAAATTACTGACTAATCAGGGTTCTTCATTAACTTCCTACCTTAAATACTTGATATCCAACGATGACGACACCGCACCTAAAATAAAACAAATATAACTTTGATAAAAAACCCTTGTAGTCTTCTTTCCGGACTAATCTTCGATCACGAAATGAATGTCGTCAATAGTATTATTAGTTATCCAATAATATTAGTTAGCCATCCAATCACTTTGTTGTATGAACTTGTATCATAAAATAATATGGTTGTATGCTGTATGTTCTGTCGATGAAGTAATCACGGCGGAAGTAAGATTGCCCCGAATAGTAAACGAAACTAGTTCTCAGGCTTTAGTAGGGTAAAAACCGTCAAAAGTACACAATAATTGGCACGGCCGTATTTTGTGCATTTTAAAACATTTTCAAACTAAACTTTGCCATTTTAGTAATGCTAGTATGAATTTAGTAGCTAGCTGTCGTTATTTATTTCCGTCTTCTTGCCTAGATACAAAGTTAATAGACTAACATGCAAATTGTGCCATTCTGGTAATATTTCGTTATCAAACTAAACGATTGCTGTGATTACTTTACAAATCTCGGAAACACGAATAATTTTTCCGTTTCCATCATCTGAAATATTTTATTTTTAATTTTTGTACCAATGAATTTATTAACAAGATATTTTAAAGTGCTACTGCAACGAAATTTTCGACCCCCTTTCTTATTAGCTCAATTTAAAGTGCTTACTTTCCTGATTTCATTTCTGAAAACAGAATCAAAATTGGCTTTCTCAAAATGTTTTTATAGCTCTCCAAAGTCGCGTTTTTTGCCACTTCCTGTGCGAACTTTTGCTCCACCATATTGTGGTTTGTGACGTAGAAAAGAGTACCGATTCGTAGCATGGCGTAAAAATACTAGTGTTAGGTAGCCTCGTCAAGGAAGAAGCTGTGTTTCTTACAGTCGCGACTAAGCCAGTATTCATCAAAATTAATATTAAATATCTATACATATGTTCCTAACGAAAAGATGGATCGCCAAGTGGAAGAAAATATTGAATTTTGTTCCGACTTTCTGTTTCATGGTGCGGTTCTTTGCGCGGCTAAGTCGATTTTAAAGATTCGTATATGACTCTTGTTTAGCAAGATTCCTTAAAAAAGAGTATTGAAAGACGATTCTGTGCATACATTTGATGTCTGAAGAATCGTAGCACAAGTTGAAAGCTAACAGATATATAGGCAAAGGCTGATTTTATCATCAATGCGAAGATACTTCGCGCGCACATGCATTCATGATGAATTATGGTGATGTTGGCCTTGGTGTCTATAGTAATGTTAACAAACATAAAGGACACGCCCACATGGGAATTAAGGTTATTCTAAATATAGCGATTATGATAGAGTTGTTGACAAGTACCTGAAGCGAAAGGAGCGAATAAAATATATGTCTATTATACGATCGTACGATCTCGCGAGATATAAAGAACATTATATTGGCGACGAAGATAAATAATAATACTTGAACGATGGCCGAAGAGCTAGATCAACCGCAACAACAACCGGCAATACAGATCATGCAATCTGTAACGATGAATCCTATGCCAGAATTTTCCCCAAATGCAAAAATTGGCACAAGTTTAGCCACAAGATGGAACAATTGGCAAGCAGACTTTGAGATGTATTTAACGGCAAGTGGCATTACGGATCCAACCAGAAAACGAGCATTGTTACTCTACCAAGCCGGACCAAGAGTGCGAGAGATTTTCAAGCAAATCCCCGAGACTGGAACAGACGCAGATTACGACGTCGCGAAGCAAAAATTGAAGACGTATTTCGATCCCCAAAAGAATCGAAGGTACGAAGTATATCAATTCAGACAGGAAACACAAGGAAACAACGAGACCTTAGACCAATTTCATACAAGGCTAAGAACATGCAATGTCAGAAACATGTGAATTCGGAGACGTTAATTTTGAAATTGAGGAACAAATAATAATAGGCGGAAATTCATCGAAAATACGAAAGCGAGCATTGCGAGACCCTACATTTGATTTAAAAGCCATGATGTGAGAAGGACGGCTTGACGAACAAAGCACATATCAAGCAAGACAGATCGAATCAAAAGAACCAAAAGACGGTGAGACAAATAAATTAGAACAAAAACCTAGTACTAGCGTAATTTGTAGAAATTGCGGGCGTAATTATCCACACACAGAAGCATGCCCAGCGAAAGGCAAAACCTGTAATAACTGTGGAAAATCGAATCATTTCACCAATGTTTGTCGAGGAAAACAAAATCAAAAACAGCGGACACTGCGAAATCAAACATATAGATCAAATACGAAGTATAAGCCCAAGAATCTAAAAACATTAGACCAGGAACCAAACTCCTCGGACGATGACTATTTATATTCAATGACAGATCAGAAAGAAAATAGCAAAGTCAATGTAACGGTAAGCGGGGCCAAATTTAAAATAACAATTGACACTGGCGCGACAGTAAATGTCATTGATCGTAACACTTTCAACAAAATGCAAGACGTAAGATCGCACAAGCACGAAAGCTTTTGCACACGATACGAAATCACCAGTCCAATTCTTAGGCAAATTTGAAGCGGTTATAGAAACACGGAAGCAGATTTCGGTGGCAACATTTTACGTAGCAAAAGGTGAAAATAGTGGAAATTTACTTTCGCTATCCACAGCCCAAGACCTCGGACTTGTTAGCTTGCATATAGACAAACTCGCACCAGTAAAGGATACAGCACTTGAAAACATCATCCATAAGCACTCTAAAGTGTTTTCGGGACTCGGAAAATTAAAAGGGCAGAAAATTAAACTAGACATTGATAAAACCCAAACACCGAAAGCGCAGCCACGGCGGCGTATACCATATCATATAAAGGCGGATTTCCACTTACAGCGAAATCGTTCGCTAGCGAAATATTTGCATATTTTCTTTTGAATTGAGAACAGTCAAGTCGAACAAATTTATTTATGCTGTTAAAATTCAAAAGAAAATATGCAAATATTTCGCTAGCGAACGATTTCGCTGTAAGTGGAAATCCGCCTTTAGAGAGAAAGTGAAAATGCTCTATCTGAGCTTGAAAAACAAGATATCATTGAGAAAGTTCCGGAAAACGAAGCCACACCATGGGTTTCTCCCATTGTGGCAGTTCCCAAAAAAGACGGACAGATTAGAATATGTGTTGATATGAGACTCG